TTTTTTTTTTTTGTTTTATTTCTGGTGTTCTGTTTTCTCCTGTATTTTCTTTTTGCTTTTCAGTATATGTGTTTGTGTCTCCTTTGTTTTCTATTTTTATATTTAATTATTAGCAAAAATAATACTCTATAGAAAAGAAAAAGAATTCAGAAGTGTCATCAGCAGTATCAGAGGTACAGAAAGAACGATGCTTATGATATGTTGACGATTAAACGGTATTAAAACAATTAGATTTTCTTTTAATTCTGTTTAGATATGCTTATATCAAAAAATATTTATTGCTGACCATTTCTTCGTTGTCGGTTTTGCTGCTGCTGCTGTTCTTTTTTCCTGTCTCCTGTCTTTTCCTCCTTCTTCTTCTCCTTCTCTGTCATTAAACAACAGTAATAACGAGAAGCAAAAAAAAAAATGATTTAAAATTTGTTTTTTTTTCTTGAAAAATTGCTACCTATTGATGTGGTATTTAAAGTTTCTATAAATCTCTCATCACAAATTCAATAGTTAAAGAAAAAAAAATTTTTTTTTTTTTTGACTGTATTAATGAAAAACCAAAAAGAAAAAAATAAGAAGAAGAGAAAGAAGAAAGGAGGAGGGAGAAGAAGAAAAATAAATTATTTAGCAGGAAAAACAAAAAATGAGGAAAAATTATAATAACAGTAAAATCATTTTGATCTGTGATGTAAAACATTTTGGTAATGATCTGCAATTTTCGTACACAACAACTTCCACTAAACCAACACCCAATACCCAATACCAAATACCATAGTGAATAGGGCACTAAGTGCACATACAGTAATCCTTTTAGTAATCCATAAATTTTTTTTTTTTTGACTTCTTTTCGTTTTCTTGAATTTTTATTATCACTCCTTTTTTGAGTGAAAAAAAAAAAAAACGGAAAAAGAGGAGAAAGAAAAGATAAACAATTCAGCTTTTATCTATTCCATTCTACTGCACACCAACGTCTTCAGCGCAAAGATTGACCGACAATCAAACTGCCAACCGTATAGCTGCTTGGCGTCACTTTTATCTTGTCAACACTTACGGCGGGCTGTAACAACTGTCCCAGAAGCGTAACACCAACAATTCTTTGAAGGTATACTTTTA